TTATTAAGTATTAACAGTATATTGATGTAATTTTGTTTTATTTCAATTCAGTGAGTCAGCTAAATCAGTTAAATCAAATTATTCTAGATTATTAACATTATATTACCTTCTTCAACATTTGTTTTTTACATTTTATTTGAAAAACTTTTGGTATTATACTGGAAAACATTTTTTTTAAATACGTTATTTTTTTAAATCTCTTATTTTTTTTAGAAAAATAATATTTTCGACAAATATACCAACAATTTTTTAAATAATATGTAAAAGACAAATATCTGTATAATATATGTATAATTAATATACGTATGACACACACACACACGATATTTGCCATGTGCAACATTCCTGTAACATGAAAAAAGCGGCTGGTAAAATCTACCAAAATTTGTGTGCCGTCCCTATAACCGGATGGCTAGACTAGACAACCAGGAAACGGAAACGGCTGAGGCGAATTATTAAGAAAGCAGAGCGGAAGAAGCCTAGCCGACCCTATCAGCGCAACGGACGGATTGAGAGCAAGAGAAGGATTACGAAGTAAGATAGCAAAGGGGAAGAAGAAAAAAAGGAGAGTACTCAGCTTCGACCTCTTGGTAGGCCTCGATCGATGCCGTTGCTATGGCAACCAGACCGGCACCGTAGTGCTCCACTACTGATTATTTATGTCAAAGATGCCCCCTTCCTCCACCCACTAGCAACCCTCCAAGGCACGCAAACGCGAGCAAACTAATCCCCGGGAAGAGGGGCGAAACGCTCGCTATCTAACAGTCTACTAGTCTATCTATGTGACGCTGAAGACCAAGAAGTTCCAAGAAATGGATAATTTAACTTGTGGCTAAATGAAAGCGAGATAAGAACGAAGTATGGATGTAATCAATATAATGCATCAATAAATCCAATGACGTAGTTCGAGGCAAAAAGTCGGTTCGTTTTCGGATATTGGAAAAAATATATATTTTATTAATTAGATAGAGAGCTTATTATTATATACAGATTCTCGTTATATATATATATATATATATATATATGTGTGTGTGTGTGTTACTTTATTTTATATATTTCTAAACATAAGACATTTTAATTCATAATCTCGAGAAATACAGCTGTCGTACAATTATGAATCAATTTAATTTGAGCATGATGTTAGCTCTGAAAATTGTTATGTCTGTCACTACGAGAAGATAAAAAGGAAGAGGAGATTGTAGAGGGGAGCGAATGAAATACATAGGTTAGAAAGAGAAGAGGGTATAAAGTAAATGGGCTGCGCGGCATATGTATATACATATACGGTGCATATAAACGCGTTCAAGTCTATTTACGATCTGGGACGAGTCCCTGACATTCATACCTAAATAATAAATTACAAAAATGGCATATCAAATTAAAAAAAAAAAAAAATTCTGTCAGAACAAAAACAAAACAACTGTGAAACGAATACATCGGAAATATATATCGTCATGAATGAAGTGTATATGCGTTTGGATATTAATATAAGGATATATATATATATATAATATATCTGACTGTTATTAGTTATATTAATATTAAAAGCAACAGCAACGGCATGAATTAATTTGACAATGAGTTGATAAGAACGAGAGAATGATATAAAATGACATGCACGGGAAGGAATAAAGCAAGCGACTGTTCCCTGTGGAAGGGTACTTGCGACCCAGTTTCACCCTCGCAAGGTGGCAGCAATCGATACTGCGCCTAAGGGCCGTATGAAACGCGATCGCAGTGCCACTGCTGCGCCAAAAACAAAAATAGGGGCTTACGCATGTTGCATTTATATGTTATGGAATGACCTGGAAAGACGTAATTCACTTTCGAAATTCATTATCAGCGTTTAAGTCATTTTAATTTGGCATTTAAGATTCCAACTCTGTCTCTCATCTGCACATGTATGCACACCGCAGCCATCTTGAATCATGATGTCAGAAACGAAAAATCATATGAATCATTTCCTCTTGCATTAATTACTTATACATTGATATAAATTAACTTTCTCGCATATCGCCACGTTATAGGTTCAAAAGCACAAAATGATTAAACATTCCTTTCTCAATGTGTGGATTATAAGTAACTGTAAATCTTGATTTGTAAAATCCATTTTTATTCAACTTCGTAAGTCACATTGTGAATCGAATTATACGTATATATGTATATATGTATATGCATGATAAATATGGACGAATTTTTTTGGTATCTATATTTCTTCAATCTATTTAAGTATTTCGATTCAATATTATAAATCGAAACAAAAATATTTTAGAAACCTTGTAATGATGTTTTTTTCCACAGAAATATCTCTTTTACGAGAAACATTTTCGAAATTTTAAAACGTTATAATGTTCTTTGAGTTTATCATACCAGTGTATATTGGTTCGCAATGAGGCGCGAAACGATTCGACGGACTTCATGTGAATGCGCGATAAGCGCACGTCATGAAAGCTAAATGCCCGCATTACAATGCTTTTATCTGCCACGTAACCGACGTTTAACAAATAGCGACTATCAAGAGCGATACTGATAGTCCCGACGGGGTACACGCCGTGCCACGGTGGGCGGATATGCTATTGAACGTGATAGAGAAATGCGATCTGCGACCGTACAGTTAATATGCGCGTCACCTATCTAAAATTGATGGTATTAGAAAGAAATCAATTCCAATACGGTTTTCTCTCTGCAAAAAAGTAACGTTTAACTTGCTTTAATTTAATTAGTTATTTTACGGTGTTTATTAAACATAAAGTTACGGATTTCTTAAATTCAACCTCCACAAAAAACCTATCAATTGAAAAAAAAAATTTATGGTCATTTTTTAAATCAGTACTAGGTAAGATTAGGAAATAAGTTTCACTGAAAAATGTACGTTTATATTTCAAATAACTAATCTATAAAATAGATTTTGCAAAGCGTATTTTCCAAATTGTGTCAACAGAATGTGTAATATTCATATAATGAAATATCACAGATATTCTGAAAACTAATATAGTAATAGATTGGCTGCAGAAATCGAACATGTATATTAAAGTAGCTATGAAATGGCAGATTCTGCCTATTTTATGCTGATAATCTGCTGTCACCTTGTGTCAACGTGCTATGCTAGCAGAACACGAGCTTATTGTGGATACAATTAATATGCCAATTTGCTGTAATATTTTCAAATTTGCTGACAAACTGCTAGAATATTGCTAACAATTTGCTTGGTACATGTATAAACGCCAATTATCCAATGGCTAATAAAGTATGCACATTCCTTGATAATGCTACTCTCGGTGATTCATCTGTTACTTGAATAGTGATAAACTTCACCGGCTGTGTAATTTTTTTTCTCATAACCCATATTTATTTAATTAATTAAATACAACGATGGGGGGATTATATTTAAATTCAGAGCATATTGAAAATATAATACAGTTATACTTGAGCGATCATTACATTAAGAACGCAATTATTCCTTAGTACTCACAGTTCTTCGAGGTACGTTTCTGTCGACTACCATAAGATCATCGCACTATTGATGTATTGACACAAATGTTCCAAATCACAGAATGTACAATGTCAACGCACAAACTGTAAAAGACTGTTTTGTTTATCATTTTTACTTTCTACACATAGAACAATTCGCTATAGTCCAATATTTTTTATCTCTACACATTTCGTCAATACCACAAATCGCACAATATCAGCTATTGGACTAACGTAAATAATTAACAATTATCTTTATTAATATTTACATGAACATTATCATTAGTCGTTTGATATAATACAGTTATGTTACGCTGTCCGTAGCCGATAAGTAATATCTCATTTTTCAAATTGGAGAATCTCAATACTGAAGATGGTAAACCGTGTTAATTACAATGAATGAATACCGAAATGATTTTAACAATTGTATCGTGTATACTTTTATCTTTATAAAAACTCGAATGTACTGATATTAGACATTAAATACCAAAAAAATTTTTTAAAGCTTTTTAACATTATCATTTTATGAAAATAGAAGTCATACGTGATCAATTACTAAAGAAATTATTTCGATATTCAGTCTTTGCATTCAAAATTTCTAGATTTATAGTTTTTTAGATTCATTTTTGGCATTCTCTCTCTCCCCCCTCCCTCCCTCCCTCCCTCTCTCCTTCTCTCCTCCCTCTTCCTCTTTCTTCTACAAATTTTTCCGATTTTTTACCTCTACGACCTTAATCAACTTATAACTTGTATGTCTTTGAAATCTCGATTGAAAAAACGTTTTGAATTTGGAGATTTCTGGTTTCTTGTTTAAATTACATATATATTGGATCCTTGAACCTTCACACACAATTCTTGATTTATTGAAATTTAGTAAGTTTTCACAAATCTTTGGCATTTTTCGATCTTTTCTTTTGGCTTTTTATCTTTCAGGATTTCTCTAAATTTCAAAGAACAAACTCTGCAGCCTTTATGCCTTTATATCTTTTGCGATAGTGGAACGATATGGTGAAGTTTAGGAAACTCTATTAAGCCTAATCTTTGTTAAGTATTCTTGTGTTCTTCAACAAATCACATCTCTGCGTTAAAGGGTCATCTACAGAAAGCGAGGATAGATATCTTGATAGCATGTTCATATTTATGTGAATTGCAATAACATAAGCAAAATGTATAATAGTGGATTTCGATTGCAGTTTATAACAGTACAACTTGCAGTAAATTTGTAAATTAAAAAGAAAATTTTGCATATTAACTTCTTTTAAAGTTCTTGATGTTTAATTTTTGAAATTGCCAATGTTTGTTGCAATTCTCTAAAATTTTTGAGAAGTCATTAAATCTCAAATTTTTTAATGATTTTTATAATTCAATAAATCCACTGATAATATTTTATTCAGATACGTTTTGTAGAAGAACATAGATAAAAAATAAGATATTGGAAATATTGTTTTTCTACAGATAAGAATATTCATTAATACTTGCTATTATTACTGTTTTTAACAGTTTTTTTTTAAATTTCGTACATATGTGAATTCAAATTGCTTTTCCATAATTTTGTCAATTTTTTACAAAATATGATTCAACTGATTTTTATCGAACGCGCAAATGTTATTAAGAAAATCATTTTTTAAAAAGTACAGAGCGCGAGAATCGTAAGAAATCTTGTGTAAATGTATACATTAATATCTACTGTCTAGTTTAAGCTCTGTGAATTTATTGTACAAAATAGTTTCAGCAGAGATACGAAATTTATACGATGGGAATATAGATATATTAACCATAATTGCAAATGTTAAAATTTTCGGGGAAGAGAAATTGTTAATCGCAAAATTGAAGCTCAAGTAATCGTCAAATATCTTAAGAAGAAATGCTTGATGACTTTTGACTATCGTTCTTATCAAGGGCTGAAACATGATCAGGATTTTCTCCATGTGCGTAACGCTCCCACATCTTTGTGTACAACATCTCCATGCCTATGGCGTACAGCTTGCAGTTAAATAATGGGCTTTCTGATCGAGCTTTCCAAACTTTAGCCCTTGTTGCTTTCAAGCTGGCACAAAGAAATAAGTTTATTAGATAAATTAAATAATATAATATAAGGCTATGAACTACTCAAGTTATTATGTAACTATTTTTATCAACAATATAAATTTTGTACAGACGTTAAATTTTGAACCGTTATTTTTTATTGAATTTTAATTTTATTAGATTAATTTTATGTATGTTAAATTCTATAAAAAGAACTATACAATGTCTTAAAGAAACATGTCACAAATGTCAAAATACTTACTATTCTCTATCGGTACCCAATCTAATAGCGATATCTTGATATTCCTGCCGTGTTCGCGCTACTAGTTCGGGACAGCCAAGAGTGTTTAATTGACTAGCTGCCACACGAGAGGCTAGAGTTTCTCCCGGAAGCGTAACTACCGGCGTTCCAGTCCACAAAACATCCATACTGGTTGTGTGTCCATTGCAAAGTGGTGTGTCTAAACATACGTCGGCCAACTGGCCTCGTCTCACATGTTCTTCTTTAGCAGCAACATTGCTGAACAGAATTCTGCCGGGCGTCAAACCCAATTGTTGCGCCGTTGCTTGAAGATTAGGTTCGCCGACCGCCGGAAAACGTAGCAACCATAGCACGGAATTTGGCACGTGTTTCAATATCTAAAATCAAGCGGTTATAGACAATTTGATGTGAAATTTACGTCTCACGAAATTCCTTTGTTGTTACTTACGTGTGCCCACATGTGGAGAGTAAGTGGATCGATTTTATACAACTGATTAAAGTTGCAATAAACTACGGCATCCTCCGGCAAGCCGTACTGTTGCCTGGTTGTAATCACAATATTCTGAGGCACCTCCTCGCCTGTAGCAGTTTTGTTGTTCACCTGTGTGGTGGCCATACCGTTTTGCACAACGACGCCATTCACAGACATTTGACACTGACCAGAAGCAATCATCGTTTCAATCGGAGTAGTAGTCGGTAATTCGGCAACTTTGAGTGAAATTTCAACGGGTTGCTTTTTGTCTGGCACAACTACCTCGCGAATCTCTTTTATCAGAGTATTCTCAATCATCGGAGAGAGATCTGTGGCATTGATTACCGCAACGTTGTCAGCTACTTTGCCTTTGTGATTCAACTTGTCCGTTAAGATTAAACGTTCCTTCAGATGAGGAAACATTTGCCTAAGAGTAAAGAAGTGTAATTTTGTTAAATGGCCAAACTACAATTTTTTGTAAAATGAGATTTTACAAGAATGCAGCTATTTGATCTTTATATAATCTTTATCATCTATTAAAAAAAATTCGTAAATAAATGAAAACTAAATTTACGTACTTATGATCGCCGATGAAATAAGTGTGTGGCATATAGGCGAGTTTCTCGCTGTATTGACTGGCGAGCTCCAATGGCGAAGTGACCTCGTCCGTAATGAGATAGTCCATGAAACTTGCGCCAGAGGTACCAGGATAACCCAGCCACATGACCTGGATCGGAGCTGGTCGCAAAGCGAAGATCTCGTTTCTAGCGCCTTTCGTATAGCCGTTCATGTTCACTAGAATATGGACGCCATCGGCATTGATGCGGTCGGCAGCTTTCCCATTGCACGGAATTTGAGAAAGATCGATAAAATGCTCGGTCTCTCGTGCTATCTTCGCACGAAAGGTTGTGCCATCATCTGCGCTAAGCGCGTAGCAGAAGATCTCGACTTTCTCACGCTCGTGTAAGCCAGGTATTGACTGCATCAAGTGACTGGTCGGATGATTACCAAAATCCGACGAAACATATCCAATCTTCAATCGTGTGCCAATTGTACGCGGGTATTTATATGGTTGTTTGTGAAGAACATGGATCTGCACAATGTTATTCATACATAATAATTACCGATAGTGAAAATATTTATAGAGTAGTAAACGGAATAGAATAATAATTATTTTCAATAAAGTATATTAATTGTTATAAAAAAGATTTACTGAATAAATAAGCGAACTTACTTTCTCTATGCAAAGGTTAGCATGTCGAGCAGCAATAGCTTTCCGGAACTCATGAGATAAAGGATAAAGCATGGAATGATGCGGATGCACGCTAGGCAGTCTATTTTTATCTAGCTGTTCAGCAACAATAGACACCAACTTCTTCATTCTGGCTTCGTAATCAGTCCAATCGCATACTATTTGCAAACAGTGCGCCAAGTTGCAATAGGCATCTGGAAAGTCTGGCTTCAACTTCAACGCTGTTCTGTATGATTGAATCGCTTCGGGAATGTTGCCGGAATCTTTGTGGATCGATGCCAAATTGGAATGAGCGTCAGCAAAGGCCGGATTGATTTGGATAGCCCGAGTGTAGCATTGTAGAGCGCCTTGTATATCTTGCATCTCTTTCAGGGTGTTTCCCATATTTGAATAAGCATCGGCAAAGGTTGGCTGTATGCGAATTGCCTCCTTATAATGCATCAATGCCTCATTCAGTTTGCCTTGCTGCTGCAAGACAGAGGCGAGATTGCTGTGGGCGGCCGCAAACTCGGGAAATACTTCCAGGGCTTTAAGATATAAGCGAGTTGCCTCCTCAATGTAGCCTTGCTCGCGTTTTATGTTGGCCTAAAGAAATCATTTCATTATAAACTTCTTTAATTATTCTTCTAGCATTTATATTACATTTAAAATGATATAATTTCGTACCAAGTTATTAAGAGAATCCGCGTGTGTGGGACAAAGTCGGAGGGCGGTATTGTAACATTCTTCCGCTTCGACCACTTGTCCCTTTTCTTTGAGAGCGTTCGCCAGATTGCAGTACGCATCAGGGAAATTAGGCTGTAATTCAATAGCGCGACGATATGTGTCGATGGCCAGGTCGATGAGTCTATAATATTACACAATTTTCGATTACTTTTTTTTTCTCGGAATACGTCAACATTTTCTTTTATCAAGATTAGGTTAAATCCATCGTAAATTTCCTTTGCAAGTATAAATGTAAAACATTAACTCACCCTTGTTCGTAATAAACGCACGCCAAATTTCCATGTACGACTGCATTGTTAGGACTAAGGTTTAACGCGCGGAGATACGCGGCTACAGCTCTGTAACAATTGGTAATTTAAAAACAATTGTTGATTTCAGATCATCTTAATAAAGGTGATAAAAGCTTAGCTTATAAAAGGCCTTAATAATATTAAGTAAACATCACTTCTCTCTACAATCTATAATTAAAAAGAAAAATTATATTTATCATATCTATCGATTCGATCGTAATTATAGAAAGTAGTTGTTAATACAGCTCCCAGCACTATAGACGAGTCTGCTGAACCTTTTAACGTAGCGCCTGATCCAGGAGACGCATCCAGACGTAGAGGGTCGCGTGAGAGTATCTTCTATTTGAACGCGAAGCGCGGGCGCGATAGTAGTCGAAGGCGAGATCACCGTATAGACGACCACGCACTGGCAGTCCATTCCTTCTCCATCCCGGCTGTCTTGGATCCGCGGATCCCAGAGACCACGGATCCGAAGGATCTTTGACGACGCGGTACGTTAGATGACTAAATCTTTAGAGACAGGGATGCAAAAGAATTTGGAATCTAAGGAATTTCGGGAAAAGAAATTGTTGAAAGCATGACTTCATGCAAGGTGTGCGGAGGTAAGGATTTTTTCAAAGCGTCGAATTCGCTTGGAGCATATTTTCATAAAGCACAAAATGTTGTGGATCCACAGAAACAGACAATCCTTCCGATAATATCCATTAGATTCACTTGGACCTAATTTCTTTGAATATCTCCTACAACTCTTTTAAATTGCAGAAATTGTATAAAACACGCTTTCCCAATACCTATACGAATTTAAAGGGAAAACTTTTGCATACACAAATTTGGATATCTATGACGCGCGCGCGCGCGAGTGTAATTTTCATGGGACCACCAATATTCTCGATGTACACGTTAAAATTATTAAAAAATAAAGGATATCAGTATAGAACCTTAGATACGCAGCTTTTGAATTCACTAATATTCAAGCGTAGAGATCGAAAGAAAAATCACCCAAGCACGAACTGCGCAGATCCTTAAATACACGTGGATCTAGGATTCACTTATCCTAGGATCTATAAATGTCTAGGCGGCAGGAATTAAAGCAGGAATTACACAAGCACGGATCCTTCGGTGTGCGGATCCTGGGAGGTGGATCAACGCCGGGAGATGCTAACAGCCAGAGGAAAGCCGTTTAACTCGCGAGCGAACGAAAGCTGAACGGGCACGCGTATCCTCCCACAACGGGAGTAGGAGGCAAAGGGCTCCAATGGGGGCGGAGCGGCTTTTGGAATCGATAGTTGTCTTCGAATTTCTCCCACTTTATGCGTGAGGAAACCTCGGAGCCAGATAACTGCGTCCAATGAATCCATTATTATCCATCAATTACATTTTATAGACGTTTTTATTTCAATTCGCTTTTATATGTATTATTATAGACCAATAAGAAAAAAACATTAAAAAATAAAAAACGCTAAAATTGATTTTATTATTATGATTGCCTTAGTCTCAGTCGTGTGTACATATATTTAACAAAAATATACTAATAACTAAGAATTAAAATATCTAAAGATAGGTATGTGTATAATGTCGGCTGCGTAGACAAAAAAATACAAGTATTATAAAAGATGTTAAAATTTCTATTGTTTCTTTGATTACGTATCTTGGTGAAAATCAATAGATCAAGAGACTAGATATAATTAAAAAAGTGAATGCATTACAAAGAAACGATTTTATCACTATTTACATGTAAAAATGTGGAAATTAAGAATATAAACGTGATAATACGCAGACATATGGATCTCTAGTAAAATCTTTGCAAAACCAATATTATTTTACTATATTAAAAATCTTGATAAAATAGCTAAACTCCTCTCTAAATTATATAAACACCGATGTTAATCACGCGAAATATTCTGATTTAAAAATTGCGTTTGAAAAAAAAGGTACATTGTTCAAATTTCTCGTTCAAATGCACACAGAGGACGATGAACTTGAAAAGGATGTTACATAAATATCGATTCTCAGTACTGACTCGACAGCTCATGCGCCATATCCGCCTATGTTCTCTTTCCAAGTGCGTCAAACGCAATTGTTAATCCGTAACGCTTACTTAAGTGCACATGATTACTTAAGTGCAATTTCTCTTTTTTAATTAGGAAACTTTAAAAACAAACTAATAAAATATTTTATTATATATACATAGTAAATTAATGTTAACACACACGTGTGTGTGTGTGTGTGTGTGGGCGCGCGCGCGCAGAAAATGCACAGAATATATGTATATATCTTCATGTTCTAAACTTGCGTAAAAAAAGAGAACGGTGCAGTAGATAGTAACATTGCTCAAAATAAAATAAATTGTGTGACTTTTGACTAGCCATTGATGATTTTATGCGATACATCAATGGAATAACTAAAGCCATTTTCAATCTCGCACAGATTTTAAAACCAACGACAACGAGAATTTCAAGACGTTGGTTGATCAACACTGTGCGTATATTTCTTCGTCTATCATTTTCTTCACAAATCTAAGTCATTTAAATTATTGTGACAAGTGAATTGAGGTAAATAAATTTTTATACTGTTCGATTTGGTAAACTTATGCCAAATCGTACTTAATTTTCAAATGTTTTTTTATATATACATTAAATGTACAGTAAATGTACAAGCATAGAAAAAAATTATCACTTTGTAAATGAATAAAATCAAAGTTTTATTATTGATATATATTATTTATATTATTTAAAAATAATATTAAAAACAATTCTTGTGTGTTTAACACATAAGTAAAATATGATTCTAGCAAAATATTGTAGCAAAGTGATATCAACTATATCCGACATGATCTGGCTATTTCGTGATATTAAATGGCAAATTCAATTTTCACAGACAATCCGCTATCGTATTAGTAGATTCTGCTGTACTTTTGGCATTTACCGAGAAAATTTGTAGCAAATACTTCGCAAAACATGTTTTTAACAGATTTGATTATCTAGGATCATTATATTACACGATTCATATTATTTAAGAAATAAAAAAAGAACGATGAGTAATCAATTTGCACAGAAACAAACCTGTCAAAAATTCTAGCTTCCTTTAATACATTCCCAAGGTTGATGTAAGCATCTAGAAAGTTAGGATCCAAGGCAACTGCTTTTTCGAAATGGTGTATCGCCAACCATATTTCTCCTTGCGCATTGAACACGCAACCAAGATTGCTCCAGGCAACCGCAAAATCCGGCCGTGTCTCAATCGCCTTCAAATAGCAGGCCTAGAGAAACAGAATACAGTTTATAGCAATTTTATTCGCGAACTCAAAGAGACGCGCGCCGCGCGGTATGCCCGACCTCCCATCGCCGCGCCGCAGCTTCTCTCTCTTTCACACGCTCTTGCTTTTCGTCTTTCTTTTTCTCTCCCTTCATCCTCTCGTCGTTAATCTCGAACGAAAAAAAATATTTTTTTTACCACTCTATATCACTTCTGTTTCCTTTCCTCACCATGTCTCTTCGTCCCATCTTCAAACGTTGTAACAGTTTCGATGTCTCTTTAGAGCTGCCCGAGAGTCTCTCCATGATTTTTTGTGATTGAATAATTATATTTGTGAGATAGATAGTTACTTTTTCAGATTTCAGGATCATACCGATTTTAAGAAATGGAAGATAAGGAAAATTGTTAGAGGTTTATTAGAAATTTTAAAAATATTTAACGAAAATTGTTTTTAATCCTGTACGAATCTTTCGTTCAGGATTAAACAATTTGTACTGCCACTAGTTTAGCGAGTACATCTGGAATTCTGAACCATTTTCCAATATCCTGTATAATGTGAATGCAATAATTTAAGGATAATAAAAGTCATAAAAAAAAATATATATATATATATCATAGGAGATTTAAATTAAATTTAATATATCATGAAATCAAAGATCAGCGGAAGCAAAAATCCAAGCAGATATCTGTGAAAACAATAATCCATAGAAATAAAAATATGTCAAACCAAATGCCTGTAGAAGTATAAAACCTGCACGAAACCATATACATTAAAATTACGCATTAACACATCAATAAGTTTTCTACTACGATCGATCATTTAATGAATTTCCTGAAAACAAAAGTATACCATATCGAAATTGCCACATATGTATGTAAAAATAGTGTATGTAAATTCATAATGTTGGACGCGAACATTTCTTTGCTATATCATATCATGTTTTTTTAAAATAATTAACAACCTTCGTAATTCATCCCATTTTTTTATTCTTCTTTGGACCCAATGCTGTCAATCTTGAAGTTTGCCCTCCTTGTATTGATAAGAGCAAGAAAAAGGCAAGGAATGGAAACAGAATGAACGAGGGTTGCCTCGCGAATAGTCAACAATTCATTCTCGGATGGGAATCAGATAGGTCCAGGACCAAAGGTATTAAGGTGCGCGCTAGAGTCGTCATCTTGGAACGCGCGACTTTCGGTGCACATAGAGTCCCCGAAATGCGTCCGGTGGACTCGACCGCACGCTGAAAGTCGTACGCTAAAATCAAGTCGACTTAGTCTCTGAACTCACAATTAACGAAAGTCTTTTTTTTTCGACAAAAAACAATTTCTATTTTTAAATAAGAATAATTATAAAGACTTTCGACGATAGGATGACGACTCTAAGGATTCAGCGTGGATAATCATCGCGCGTGCCGAGAGGTGGGCTGCATTGATATTGAACAGAGTAATCCGTACCTAAACAATAAGAGGGCATTTACAGTTGACCGGTCTCTGTAAGGTGCGGAACCTGGAATTAAAGGGGAAAAAAAAGAACAGGAGTTGGAAAATATACGATTTTGTTATACTCGATATGCAATATGCGATGTAATATAAATGGGCAAGAACTATCGCGATTATTACAGCAATCTATATTTTCCGATAAATAAATAAATTTCATATTAAAGTAAATGAAGAAAGCTTATTGAGAGAGAAGAAATATAACGAAAAAATCAATTATTTAGCAACAATGTACTTGCTATTAATAAAACATTTAAGAAATTCGTATTGATAACTGATAAATATATCGGCGTATTGATAACTGATAAATATATCGGCGATTAAAAGGAATATCAGTCTTAAAATTTCACTGTGACAATAATAACAATAGAGTAATTTTATTGAATGTAACGTTGTTATAAGGCAAACGATAAATCTGAGATATAATAGTATCATACAGAATAATATCAAATCTTGTATAAAAATATTTAAAAAATTTAAAAGTTTTGCTTGTATAAAATCTCAAAATTTATTTAAGTAAAATAAAAAAGCACACTTGCACAATACTTATGAACGTTATGTGCAAATCTAAAAATAATTAACGTATCGATTATCTCTTTCTTTGTAAAATTATTTTGCGATATCTAACAGGATAGGACTTTTGACTTTTTTGTTGAGAGGGATAAGACGAGTTGAGAGAAACTGGAAGGTTTTTAGAGACCGGCCTTGGGAATTACTTTACCTGCAGTGTACCCTTCGGTAGGTTGACTCAGTAGGTACCGCTTGCAAGCTCTCATAATAAACTTAGACCGAGAGACAGTGTGTTACTGAATAACCAGATTCAGATTCACCCTTTGACGAAGGAACCGGCACGGTAACCGACCAATCTCACATTGCTCCTGCACATCCCCTCCTAGAGTTGATCATCCCATCCACAACAATAAGACAGCTGCGTTAATGTCTCTTCACTGATTACTCTTCGCCTCAATCTTTGTCTTTTATGTTTTATCATCTCTTTTTTCTCTACTTTCTGTTTATTGTGTACACAAACGAGTTGATAATTCACGTGCCTGCGAAAGACACGCTTCGCCGAACTCATCAGTCAACTGCTGCTATTTTCTCTCACGATCGCGGAATACGGACTGCATTTCTTTCTTTTTTATAAACATTCTATTATATTGATTCTATCAATCATCAGACTCTACGTGGAAAACAAACAATGCGAAAGAGTTGCGTTATGTTGCTTTATCGATGCAGGTAGTTGGCTGAAGAGCTCGACAAGAAACGAACGAGCGTAGTTCTCAGGAATAGCGGGAAGCGTAACGGGAAGCTTTCCTCATTTGTTTTGCTGTCATTTTCAGGATCGAATAAGGGCATATCTATAAATCAAATTTGTTAATCGTACATCCAAAACACTATTTGCTAGAAGCAATCAAAAAATAAAAAAATCTATATATGTGTACACACACATAACTAATACAAGTGCATTTATAAGTACACCCTCACTGATCGTTGCCGCGCCGCGCTGCAAAATAGATCACTTGACCGATTAACGATAAATTAACGATTTCATATCTCTTTTATTATTCGATCGTATTAATATCATTCGGAAGTAGTAGCTTTATGATAGTACTGTTTTTACAATCTGTTCCTGAATTAAAAACAAAAATCGCTGTGACGAAATATTATCGCGCTGTAAATTTAACGCGGTATAATAATTTCTCATTTAATTTAAATAACTGGTCAAGTGATCTCGCGCCAATATTATCGTACACACTATAGATTCTCTCGCTCTCTCTTTCTGTCATCACACGAAAATGTTGAGCACGCACGTGATAACGTGTGGGCTGTAATAACAATCAGTCGCACATTCAAAACATACATATTCAAAACAAGAGATAAAATCAGCTCATATTCGCGCGCTGCTAGAACCATCAATATTGATTTAGTGGAATTAAAATCCACTTAGATGGAACTAGCAAATAATTTATAATTTGTGGCAACATTATAAATCCTCAAAATAGTCAAAACGCACTTGGTATTGCTGCAAAACGCGCAACGCTAGAAAGAATATTCTCTTCAGTTACTTTGATAATAATCCCCTAAACACTATAAGATATTTCTTTTTTTTTTCTTGACTCTAGGAAATCTTTTAAAATGTTACATTATAACAAATGTTTAAAAAAAGAAAATAGAATTATTTAAAAAACTTAAAATTCGTATTTTCCTTTCTTAGAATATCCGATTAAGTCTCCAATCGTTTTAATATAACGTAATAAATATTTTCAACAAAGAAAAATTCATAAGTTTCTACAAAGCATTTAGATTGGAATACGTCTAGAAGTTATTATACTGTTTAGGGTTTTATATATTAATTTAAAAAACCATCGTTTAATGTCGTTCAGAAAAATCAAATTCTGCTCACAACATAAAACGCAGTTCTTTCGATGTTACAGGTAAAAGAATGTACACGATCTTCAATCTGTTATAGAGCTCGCGATTATACACTCAACATTTCTCACATGGTTATTCCATAGAGGATAGCTATCAAAGATTCGAAACTTGCAGCTCAATCTATAAATTTCAACAATAAAAGATCGTGCACCGCGCTTGCAAATTGCCTGGCAAAGACTGAAAGCTTCTCGTAGTAACGAATATTCTTATTCAGTCCGCTCATTTCGCGGAGAACTAAGCGCTGCAGCTCGTGCACATACGCGCGATGCATTTGTACCTCGTCAAGAAATGTTAATAAAGACTCAAGGATGGCGGAACATTGCCTGCTAATTAGAACAAAAGATATTATATGTATGATTAAATTTTTTGCTCTCCTTGATCCAGAGATGCCCATAGAATTGATCATTATTAATTTTCGGTTTTTTTTTTTAGGATTTAAGGAAGATAATGTAATTTTCAAGATAGGATGAACCAAGTATCCTTCCAAAGTTAAAAAACTTGTGCGGCAATTTGTTAATTCAAGGAATCAAGTGTGCTATTCCTTTACTCGATGGTTCCGCCATCTATAGCTTGATCGAAGTAAAGACGCTCACGAACATGTGCGTAACACGTTGGATTAATTTATTAGCTAGTGGAAATGATTCCAAAACATACCTTGGCTTCATCAAGTCTTGCTAATGCTTTCAAAAGATTACCAAGATCACTCCGCACGCAATAAAGATCCTGAAACAGGCAAAATATGTAAATTATTTCCACATAACTTATACTTCACATTCAAAATAAAAAAATATTATGAAATGGAGAACATTGGTTGGCTAAATGAATAAGTTTCGCATTTCTGAATTTACAAAGTATATTAAATAAATCATATTAATGTAATAGCTTCACTATACAAAGAATAAAGCTTGATTTTATCTTGTAAGCAAAAACTTTGTCTTCTGAAGCTTCAATGCAGATAGAAAAAAACTATTCAGATTTGTGTTTCGTATTTAAATAATAGCTAAACTGGAATATATTTGTAATGTCGATTTTCTCACAGGATTGTATTGTAGAGCTGTGACATAGGCTTGAACGGCTTGTTCCATGTCACCAGCTGCCACAAGTGCCGCGGCCAAGTTGATGTAACCATCGATGAAGTCAGGTTTTAGCCTCACAGCATGACGATAATTTTCCAGCGCCTCCGGTAGCTGTCCACGCTCTTTATATACATTTCCCAAATTGCTATATGCCTCCGCCAATAATGGATTTTGCTTTATCGCTAAGCTGCTGTAATGTGCTGATCTGAAATGTGCAAAATTATGATTTTATATATGTATGATTGTATATGTATGTTTTTGTGTCAAGATATATACACAATGGAAAAGTATAACAATTAAAAAAATATATGCTCATCTCTATATGATAATATATCTACAATTAAAAACTGAATATATGATAAGAGATTATTCTTACTTTTCTAATCTCCTACATTGAAAATGTATGGAGGAAAGTAAAAGAAGAACACCAGTGTTGTTTGACTCTTGTCGCCATAACTGCATGCAATGTCTTTCAGCGTTCTCATAATCTCCCGCCTGGTATTCCCTATGAGCAAGTTCTAGCAACCCTGAAAGAAAAAGCAAGACGATATTTAAGATATTTGATCAATATTTGACTACAAAAAAAAAGAAAGACATTTCCCTAAGTCATCCATAGTCGTCCTTTGTATATTTCATTCACTTTATTTAATATCACAGAATCTAACAGCAAATTATAAAAATCTTTTCGTTATCTCTCAATAAGCATTTCGCTGTAAAGATACTATAGCATTGAAAGGTGTATCTAGTTTTATATAAGAATATTTCAACAATGTTCCATGAATACTCAGTCAAACGTAAGACTAAAGTAAAGATAAAGGGTTAAACTTATATAGAGAGAATAATGATCTCTTCCTCCATTTTTTAAAATATCGTCATAAAAATGACAGAGAATAATCTAATTAAATTAACATTAAACAGATTTATATTACATCTGCAAATTTAAACCGATTTGCATTCACCGACTATAAAACGTGACCAAATTAACCGGTTTTTAAGGACAAAGCAATATCCAGAAAGTGTACGAACAGTAAGTATCTATAGTCACGCTGATGGTTTGATTATCGGTTAGGGTGATGAGTTCCTTGCCCTGGGAGTCCTGCGCGAATACCATAATATTTTGTCCATTCTGCCGGTCATCGTTCTCGTTGTCTATAGTCGCGATCATGCTATTGGAGCCCTTGAGCGCGCTGCCCTTTTTCTCCGCAACGTGCACGCTCATCTTCGACAGCAGAGATGTAAGTACAGAAAGTCGACCAACTTTCTTCTTTGCTCACGCACTTTAGTCCAAAAAATTACGGCAAATGTTTCAAGACTCCAGCAATAATAAATTAGTAATTTCTCCTCCACTCGTTCACGCTTGGTTTTACCTCGAGCTTCGCTACACGTACGCTCCGTCTAATTCACCCTCTACCCTCCCTGACTACCCCTTCTGTCCACAGTACTCACTAGTCACTATTCCACAGAAGTGCAGGCAGCGTAACGGACGAGCGGATTGGTCGATGCTATAGCGGACTAAGCGGCCTGACGCGTCAGATTGAAACGAAAAGAATGGAGAAGCGGCCGGCGCGGCCGGCGGCGAGAGGAAACTTCAGGAGCGTATGTATTCGCATATTGTGATTCGAATATATCTTGAATATGTTGTTTCACAAAATTCATTTTTCTCTACAGCTACGCTATTTTCTCATTTCACGCTTTAAAAAAAGAATTGTTGATAATTTCAAATTTAATGTACTGACTGTTATAACTAATTTAAAGCTATAAAATTGGTTACAACTTAATTTAATAAATTTACGAAAGTTAAAATTCGTTAAATGTGACATCAATCTTACCATCCCTGCTCTATAATATTTTTATGAAAAGAGAGAAAAATTAATTTGTATAAAAAAAAGAATTATTCTCCAAAATAAAAATAACCTTCCGTAAAAGAGTAAGAATTTCGAAAATGATTTTATCTGAAACAAGGTCATTATAAAAGGTTTCTCATTATAAAAGGTTTCCTTCAAAACGGAGCAAGTTTAACTTTATTACTCTGACTTTCCGAGATATGACCACACCTATATAGATGTAACACATATCATCTTAATGTGTTACATCTCAATGGAAGTATCATCGTACGAAACAACATTATTCTCTCCTAGATAAAAATATGATAATGAAGCTACCACGATAAGTAATGATTTCTCTTCCTTGAAACTTGAATTGAAACTACAAGATACAAATTTTAACTTGGATTATTTAGAAATGAGTTGATATTCATTACTACCAATCGATATACACGTTCCTGTTCTGGGAGAACAAGGCAGGAGAAGCTATCGCACAACGAAAAAGGAAGGAGAGAGAGAGAAGGGAGATCTCCCCTCTCAGTGCAGAAGGCAGATGGAATAGGCACTCAGCGGAATATTCCATTGTCGCGTTCAACAAAAGGGGAAGAAGCGAGGAGGGGTATCCGCTAAAGAAGGAGGGATAGCAAAGCTTATCGACGACGCGATGTCGATGCCGGTAAATTTATGAAAAAACCAAGAAGAAAATACTTTAGTCCCAGCCGTACACATTGCTGACGTTCGGTCAAAATAAAAATATATTTATTAGAACTAAAAAAAACCCAATTTTTTTCCTGCTTTTTTATCCCATAAAAAAGTATATATATATAAGATAAATTTGAATAGAGTTGCTATTAGCATAAGAAATTTTATAGAGACATTATTATTTTTGTGCCTGAATATCATGTTAAAAACGATAGATGAACGTAAATCTTATCTCAAAGTGCTATTTTATATTTCAAAAAAACTTTGGAATGTACTTGTCTTAGATTCGAATGCATTAAATATTATTTAACTTGTGAGATTTTCAATTTTTTAATCCTACTTTAATGCATTTAATTTTTTTTGCTCACTCATGGTCGCTAGCTACAACATATAAAATTGAAAAATAAACTACAATCAAACATGAATGTGCTATTGCATTTAACAATTGCAAAATATCAGAGTTATATAATATAATATGATATACTTGTGAGTTACATTTATTTTTATTAACAAAGATATTCAGATCAAGACATGGAGTTTAAAAGCACAGATGTTTCTGTCCAATACGATATTCAGATGTAATTTTTCACAGTACTTGCACGAAATACTAATACTAATTTTGTTCAAATCCCATCAAATACTCTTCAACTAAATAATAAACCTTACACGCTTATCCTATAAATATTAGTAATAGCCATACAGAGAGAGAGAGAGAGAGAGAGAGAGAGAGAGAGAGAGAGAGAGTTATATGGTATTTAAAATGATTAAAAAAAAATTTTTTTCAACTGCTCCAAATATCTAATAGCTCATTTTACTTGCACTTTCTCTTACTTTTTTTCGGCATGCAATGTAGGCATATATTTGTTATACAATTAAAATTAGGAATATATATATATATCTTGGTTTTAATTTTAATCATACATTCATTGATTTATTTGAAAATTATATTTCTTTCAAAGGTATCAAAAGATCTCAATAGTTTAAATTTCTGAATTATGAGCAACTAAAACAATTTTTTGCAAAAATAAAAGGAGGTAAAACTAGAATTCTTCATATTTTTTCTTTAGTTTAATGTAAGAAATGATTTTGATAAAATATATTAATTTAAAATTTAGTTGCGCTGATAATTAAAATATGAGTTTACACAAATGATAATTTTGACAATTAAGAAAATCAATTTCTAATTGGTTTCTCCAAATAAAGAATTTATCGCTGAATTAAGATCATAAGTAAGATGCCTTGTAGACAAGTGTACACACATACATGCTTGCTTGCTCGCCTGATGCACACACTCATATGTTGCGTGCAAACACACATATACATGTGTATTTATCTCCTTTAACTGCACTCGTTAGACAGGTTATTCTGCGCGAATAGCTGTAATGAAAATGAAGCAGACATTAAAGCTCCGGAAGGGGGCAGAACATAAAAATTACGATGAGACGCTCGAGTCGTACAAAATGCTGGAGCAGCATATGCTTTTATATTCTTGGCAGCCATAGAACAGAATAAAGACTAAAGAGCAAACGAGTGTAAAGGACCAGTCGGGATGAGTACACGTTAAAACCTTTTTAGGCGAGAGGGCAGAAGTGCGACGTAGATTTTTCAACCTTTCGAAAAATCTACGAAGATGTCAACGTACCGACAGTCGACAGCTGCTGAATCTCGTTCATCTTCAGTATAACACTCGTGCCCGCTATCTGCTGGTGACCCTGCTGCTGTTGCGGTTGCTGTTGAGCCTGCATGGCTGCGGCGCGACGAGCTGCTCGACGAGAGACGGGGACGAAGACACAGGAGAGACGAACTACAAAGCGCGACCCAAGGAATTGGCGAGTCACCGATGTCGCCGGTCGCCGTTACAACGAAATCGATAAATTGGGTCTGGGACTGACACGGACGACAGTTACACGATAAAAGCACTTATGTCAAACGACTGATATACCAAATATGCTCGATTGCGATACGCATATTAGCGCAAATTTTACACGCGCGCCATTACGAATCCAATCTTCCTTCACTTTCTTGAGCGACAGTTGGCGACAATGGCGACAGTCGTGACTCTTGTCGACTCTTGGTAGAAACACTCGAGAGTCATGCTGGATTCA